AGGGACCCTTGCTGTCCAGGCCCCATCCCCACTCACCCCCGTGGGGGATCCAGAAGCATGCTGAGCCACCCAAGCCTCTACCTGGCCACTGCCCACCTATCTGGGCTCACTGTTCCCTCCCTGTCCTCATCTGTCACACCAACCAAAAAGGGTGACTGCAATTCCCACATGGGCACCACATTTCCCCACTTCCAGGCCTTTCTGGGTGCCCTGTCCTGTGCCTGAAATGATGTCCCTTCTCTCTGCTTGCTCAGGGCTCAAGTGTCTCACCGTCCCCCATCCGCCCTTGTCCAACCCAGCTGAGCTCAGCCCCTCCAAATTTCTACAAAGCTGACCTTGGCCCTGCATCCGGGAGACTGTCACCATAAAGAGAGAGAAAGTGAGCTCGGTCGTCCATCAGGCGGGAGTGTGGCGCTGTGTGTGCCTTAGACACAGAGGAGAGCAGGTGTGCAAGGAAGAGCAGGCGAAAACCAGCCCCCGCGGGAGCCGGCAGGCACAGGGCTCAGGCCAGTACTTCCTGCAGCAGCAAAGCTGTCCCACAGCTGTGCTGTCTAGGGTGGGAGCCGCCAGCCCGCTGCAGCCATTGAGCTCTTGAAATGCAGCTAGTGCAACTGAGGAATGCGATTTCTACTTTTATTGAATTTTATTGCAATCAATTTTACTAGCTGCATGTGGGACAGTGGCCACCAGATTGGGCAGCACAGTCCTAGGCACAGCAGTGAGTCTGCTTCTCACCACATATGTACAAATCTACACGCGGGTGTGTGAGTGCGTGTGTGTGCACACGTGCACCTGTGGGTGGGCACATGCCCGAGGGTCGGGGCAGTGGCGGTGACAGCCTGTGTGGCAGTGCCCTGTGTGCAGCTTCACATCTGTGTCACGTGGTGTGAGTCGGCCTGTGGTTTCGGTGCCTGTGAAGGACAGGAGTAGAGGGGGACAAAGGGGCCATTGTGCCACATTCCCAGCTCAAACCCTCCTTTCCGGTGACATCACAGCTGCCCTAAATACGGCCGCCCAGACCCACTCCCCGAGACCCTCGCTGCCCCCTGCGCGGTGGCAGAGCCTGCCGTTCCCAGTGCTGCTCTGCCGGGCTCACCTCTGTCTCCTCCGTGAGGAGAAGGACCATGCTCCTGTGGCTGAGTTTTCAGTCAAATCCAGACGGAAAATTCTAGAAAGGGAGGCGGCTGCATTTGGATTTTTTGTTTTTGCTGCTCTTTCAGAGCCCAGCTCCTGGTAGGATTTTCTATACCTGGAATGTGGTGGGGTTTCCCTCCATTTTTTGCCCTCAGCGTCTTAACCCTCCAAGACTGTCGTCGGAGGGACGGAGCTGGGTGGGGCTGAGGCGAGGAGAGGTTGAGAGAGGGCATCCTGGCTGGGGGCCTCAGCGTGGGGCGGGACGAGGGGCTGTGTGCGGGGTCGCGTGGCAGACAGGGTGGCTGCTCACAAGGCCAATGCCCACACGAGGAGGCCCGCGCAATGGCGTCTGAGGACTGAGGTGAGTGCCGCCGAGCGGTCCCCGTGTGGGTCTCCTGGGGGTGCCTGTGAGGAGGAAAATGTGTCCCTCCCTCCCCCCCCCCGTGAACAAATGCATCTGTGTTCACAGGGGCCCTACACAGGGGTACGTGTGTGTGTGTGTTGGGGGTGGGTGGGCGTCTGTGAGGGCAGCTCCCACACACGCCTACGGCAGTGGAAGTGACACTGTGTGAACCATGAGAACTCGTGGATCATGGCATCTGGGACTCATGTGTCACAAGCATGACAGAAGGCAGAGGAGAATCTGTCTGTGTGAATGGAGATGGATGGGGGGTGAGCACGGAGGGGTGTGGGAAAGACGAGGAGAGGCTGGCTATGGGAGGACCCGTCCATCCTGAAGTCCCTGATCCAGCGGGAGCCCTGGTGCTGGGGAGAGGATGTGTCTCCCTGTCCCCTTCCTCTGTGAGTGCTCCAGAGGGCTCCAAGTCAGGCTGAGGGCATGTCGCTGGACTGGGAGGCAAGACCTCGGGAGAAGGAGGGCCCCTGTCCAGGAGGGTGCTGGGTCCTTCCACGCGTGGAGATTTCAACACTTCGCACGGGATGTGCAAGGCAAGGCCAGGAGGGAGGCGGGTTTGGGTGCGTGCTGGTGCTGGAGAAAGGGGGATTTTCTCTGCAAAAGACAATGGGAGGAATTGGGAAGGGGGTGCTCGATGAGAAGGGACAGAGAAGAGAGGAAGAGGTGGCTGAGAACCATGGTGGGGAGCAGAGCACATTTTAGAACAAGGAGGCCACGTGTTCAAGTTCTAGGTGAACTTGCTGCTGTGCGGCCAACCTCTGCATGCAGAGGCCTGGGTGCTCTGCAGAAAGCAAGGGAAGCGGAGCTGTGGGCGTGAGTCGATCTGGGTGGAAAGGAAGAGCCATGAAACCAGCACTGCCCAATAAACATATAAAGAGAGCCACATTATGTAATCTTCCATTTTCTAACAGTCATTTAAAAAAATAAAAAGAAATAGGTAAAACTAATGTTAATGATGTCTTTTATTTAACCCAATGTATCCCCAAATAAGATCACTGCATCCTGGCACTGACAGCACATCTCAGCGTGGACTAACCACATATCAAGTGTTCCGGGGCCACGTGTGGCCAGTGGCTGCCGTCCTGGACGGCGCAACATCAGGCAGCAGATCTGTGCCAAGGACCATGTGAATTTAGGCCTCCACCCCAAGTTTACAGGGAGAGGGTGAACTTTTCACAAGGCGCAGATGGAAATGCAGCCTATTTAGTCTGGATCTCAGGGGGCAAGGAGACCCCACCGACCTCTGGCCTTGGGGGGATCGCGTGAGTGCCTGCATGTGGTAACGTCTCCATTCCTGGGAGCTTCCAGAGTGCCCCGTTCCCACTAATCCTCCCAACAGCCCCAAGGCAGTTGTGATTATCGTCTCATGAGTAAGCTAACCGTCAGCTGGCTGAGCCGGCTGTTGTGTGGCAGAACCATGATTCCAGTCCTGCTCTGGGGAACTGTGTGTCCAAGGGCTGAGGCCAGCTGCAGGGGTGCCCTGTGTCCCCAGGTCTGGTGGATGGACAGATGGTGAGGAAATGTCTGGAGAGCCAGGTCACTCATGGGGGCCGTTTGGGATGAAGGTGGGGGCCGCGTGGGCAGTGCCATTGGTGGGACTTGTGGAACGGAGTGTGCCCTTGTCTCAGGGTGGGGGGAGGTGGGGGCGGCTGCTGCCGTTTGTCCTGGGCTGCGGGGCGTGGGCGTGACTGCCGGGTGGAACCTTGCCCAGTGAGCAGGGGGCCCTGAGTGTGTCTGCGCCGGGGCCGCGGGCGCGTGTGCCCAGGCACGGCTCAGCGTCCTCTGCAGGCACGCCATCCTCCCCGCTACTTGTCTGGGCCACTTCCTCTCAGGCCGGCAGCCAGGCTCCCGTGTGCTCCTTGGAGCTGAGTGGGGAGGAAGGCGCTGCCAAGACCCCAAGGCAGAGCTGGGAAGCAGAGGGAGGCGAGATGCTGGCCTCGCCCCCTCGCGGCCCTGGCCGGCACAGGAAGAGTTCAGAGGAGGCCTGGGGGGCAGGGACCAGGGAGGACCCACCCAGAGAGCTGGCTGCCTGCTCCAGCCTCCAGTCTGAGCAGACTCTGGGCAGCTCCGGGTTTCCGTCAGGAAAAAGGAAGAAATGGCAAATGAGATGTCAGAGGCATCTTCGGTCAACCCGTTTGGTTAGAGGGTGGGCACCCAAAGAGCAGCTGCTCAAATGTTTGCTGAGCACATTGGCCGTGCCTCTGCCCGAATCAGTGTTTGCCGGGTCCGGTGACCAGCCGGTGCATGTGGGCCGCCCAGCACGGCGGGGAGGACCAGGAGGCAGTGGAAGATGCTTTAGCAATGGCCTTGCTCGCCCTCTGCCCTGAGAGGAGCAGGGACAGCACTCTTCTCAAGAACTCTGAGCAAGCGTCCCTTCCTGCATTCCTTTGGGACGGGAAGTCTTTCCCGAGCGCCTACTGTGTGCGGCCGCTGCGCCTCCTGGGGGCAGCGGGAATCCTGCACTCTGGTGTGGGAAGAGGACAGGAACGGGTGAACCCAGGCGGAGCACACCTCTCAGAGGGCGAGGAGGGCTGTGGGGCAGCTGAGGCCAGGGCCGCAGGGGCACAGGGAACTCCTCTCTGAGGCAGAGACCAAAAGCACCCTAAGAGGGGAGCTGTGTGGCTGTGGGGGTCTGGGGCTCCCTGCAGAAGAAGAGGGAAGAAGAGGCCCAGGTGGTGGGTGGCTGGCCCCTTTTTGGATTCTCTTGGAGCTTCCACCCAGAGCAGGGCTGGGCGGGGGCCTGGCCCTGTGTCCTTCCTCCCCTGCCAGCCCTCCTTTACCTGGGTCCCCTCCCAGGCTCTGTCTGCAGCCCGTCCTCATATGGGAGTGGGGAAATGCGAGACTGCACCCGGCCAGGCTGGCGGCAAGTGGGCAGAGCCCACCCTCTCTGCTCAGCAGGGTTCCGGGCTGTGCCCTGTCCTGTGGACCCCCGCCCTGTCTCTGGGGGAGCCCACAGGGAGGGGAGCCCTTGCGCCCAGGGCATTCAGGGTCCCACGTTCCATCCTCTCTCCTCCATGCCTAGACTGGCTTCTCTCCCAGCACAGGTACAAAGGGACTCTCCCTCCAGCAGATCTCAACAGGTGTCAACCATAAATAAATCAGGTGAGAGCCTGGATCTCCTGCTTCCAGAGCCCCTCAGTCCTCCAGAAGGCACTGTGGAGGCAGACATGCCAGGTTCGAACCCAAGCTCTGCCACTTGCTTGCTCTGTGACCTAGAGTAAGTCACTTGCTCTCCCTAGGCCTCAGTGTCCTTATCTATAAAACGGAGATAATGATCCAGTAGTCCCTCGCAGTTAAGTTCATGTGAGGGCCACGTATAGCAGGACCTTCCTCCTCCTTCCAGAGGATTTGAGAAAATAGCAAGATGCCAAGGATCCAAAGGCTGGCAGCCCCTGGCTGCCTCTGGGGACACCCAGAAGGCAGAAAGGGAAACCAAGGCAGCACCAGCTAGGCAGAGCAGCAGGTATTTATTCTGCGTGTCCTGACACTGAACACCGCCACCCTGCCCCATCCATCTCTCTGCTTGTTCAGAGCCTGGGGTCCAGCTGGGCCAGGAGCTGGAACCAGCAGGTGGGATGTGGCTGGCCAGGGGTCGTGGCTGCTCCGAGTGGACAGAGAAGGGAGGGTGAGGCCAGGGCTGGACCTGGATCAGCTGGGGAGGGACAGTGGAGGGCTATGAGGGCCAGTCCCTGGTCCTCCTGGTGTTCCCACCCTCACCCTCCACCCCCAAGTGCTCGGCATTGGGGGCATAGCCCTGGCACTGCTGGGCACCCCACAGCTGCCTCAGAGGGACAGGCAGGTCCATGTGCCCCTTCCCCCAACCACCCCCATACCCCACCATTTGCCCCAGCCAGAGACGGAGCTCAACTCGTTCCCAGAAATGAGGCTGGCAGTGCCCACTGAACCCACCTGGCGAGGCCTCAGTGCTGGTCCAGGATGAGGGGCACCTGGGCGCTGTCCACGCGGGGGGGCAGCCGCTCACCTGTGCGCACATTGAACATGGGCAGGGTGGAGAGTGGCCGGGGCACCTCGCGGTTGCCTGCCATCTGCCGCAGCTCCTCTGTGTTCCCATGGATGGTGCAGTGGTGGACCATCTGGATGCTGGAGGCACAGGGTCGGGGGCCATCAGCTCAGGGAGTCAGTCGCCCCCGGGTCCAGCCTGGCACTGCTTAAGAGCCACCCTGCTATCCTCCCCACCAGTCAAACACATCACGAGGGCACAGGGAACAAACAGGACGTTCTCTGGTGCCTGTTCCCTGCCAAGTGATTGAGGCACGGGCTCTGGGTGCAGACAGCCTGGATTCAAAGCCGTGTGTCCTTGGCAAGTTGCTTAACCACTCTGTGCCTCAGTTTCCTCAACTGTAAAATGGGGATAATAATATCTACCTTCTAGGATTGCTGTGAAGATGAAATGAGAAAATGTGGCTCAAGCTTTAGAACGGTGCCCAGCAATGATAAGTGCTCATGTCGTACCAAGACATGAATAGATATCCACAGTGGATATATTTTTCCAGAATCCAGCAATTGCTGGGCTAATATAGTATTCCGTTTTTATGTTCTGGTGACCTTCTCTGTCCCTTCTTGCACTCAGCTCCCTCCCTCAGTACTTTCTCCAACCACAGAGCACCTAAGCCTCCTCTCCCCCCACCCCTATGGCCCTGGGTCAGGCTGGCAAACCTGCCTTCCCCTTCACCCTTTCTCACCTCCTCGGTTTGCCCGAGCTGTCTCCCCTTCCAGGAATGCCCTCCCCACATCCTGCCGGGCCTTGAGCATCTCATCCTTTGGCCCCTTGGGCGTGTCCTCCACTCTTTTTGTACCCTGACCCACTCCTGGCCCCACCCCAGCCCACCCCCAGCACCGACCAGTTCCCAACACAGAGTCTTGTCTCCCTGGGCTTGTTTCAGACCAGGGCTCCTCGACGCCAGGCACTGAGCTCCACCCTAAGATCTTCCAAGGGGCTGGAAGTCCCAGCAACACTAAGTAGCCACACCCACAGAGAGTCCTTTCTGAGCGATAGCTCCAGTTCCTCCTCGGGAGGCTCAGCCTCATTGTCTTTGGACGTTCCCAGGGACTTACTTTCTGCTGTCCAGGGGCAAGCTTTAGTTCATTCTGACAGGCGGAGTAGCACAGTAGTTAAACATGAAGACTTGCTTTGAGTTTGAGTCTGGGTTTCACTGCTTCCTGGCTGTGTAACCTTGGGCAAATTACTTAACCTCTCTGTGCCTCGGTTTCCCCAACTATAATGCAGTTGTTGTATGAATTGAATGAGTTAATATAGGAAAAGCACTTAGAACATCTCCTGGTCAAGCTTGTGGCAAGTGGTGGTTATTATCACAGGGAGCCTTCAGTTGCTATTATCATCTTTAGTGTTATTTCACTATGTTGAGCCCGCTGGTGAACTTGGCCTCCAGTAGAAGGGTGTCTCCAAGCCCTTTGTACATGAACCCACCCATATTAGTTGGCCCAGCCTGGTGACATTTTCCCAGGCTACCTGGCTGCCAGGTCAGACAGAGCTGGGACTTTTCATGATAAACAATAAAATGGGTTTTCTTAGAGGGGTTGGGGCCCCAGGCAGGGCTGAAGCGACTCCACTTGCCACTCAGTTACTGATTAGATAGGGGAAGGAAGTGGTCCCCACCCGTGTCCAGGTCTCAGGCAGCGGACACGGACTCCACTTAGAGACTGGCCGGTTAGATTACAGAAAAGACTTCCCAGCTTCATGCTGAACAGGCCACCCTCCTTGGGACGGGAGGGACCAAGTCCTGTCTGGCCAGTGGGAAAACGTGGAGTCATTGTCTAGGGCCGGGGGAGGGTCAAGATGAGCTCTTGAGTCTGGAATTTGGCAAGCCGGGTTGTCCAAAACACAGTTTGACATTCCCAGGCGAGGGGAGACTGAGGGGAAAGAGGGAAACCGGTGTGTGGACGCTGAGACGGAGGCAGCCGGGCAGGTGATGCCCCAGCGGGGAAGGGCCCCAGTCAGTGCGCCCCCGCTCACCCCCAGCCCCACATCTGGGTCTCATTACTCTGGCAACACACAGGTGGAAAAATGTTCACGGGCTGTTTTTCTAGAGCAAGAGCCAAAGCCAGACCCCGCGGTACCTTCCCCACAGTCCTTCCACACCAGCACTTAGGCAGACGCGCGGACAGGCGGCCTTCCCACACACGCATGCGCACGTGCACACGTGTGGCCTGGGCTCACCCACACCCAGCACGCCACCAACACGCGACGAGCGCCGCCTCTGGCGCACAGACCCACAGGAGAGGGTCGTCGGGGCCTGGAGGATTCTGTGACCAGTAAAATCTGATCTGGGTGAAAATCAGGCAGTAGAATACCCTTGCGGATAAATTTGAAAAAATGGCAGGCATGGAACAAGCGGTAAAAATAGGGTTTTGTAGAAATAAATCAACACGAAATCCAAACCAACTAAGGCAAACATCGCACATGGTAAATTGGTTATTGATTTCAAATTGATGGAGGAAGCAGATTTTCCTGATAACATCTGAGCTACAAAATTGACCCAGGAAAGCAGAACCTGGCAGAAATACCAGTCACAAGAGGATAACCACCGTAGCAGTAGGTACGATGGATTAAATTTGGGCAGCGCCCCACCAAAAAAGGAATCAACTTGTGAAATTTACATGGAAAATCTCTGATCCCAATGGGGGAAAATTCTATAAAATAAACATGAAGATAGAAAATAAAAGCAAAGCCTTTTAACTGCTTTGTGTAGAAAGTTGCTCAAGGAATGAAATTGATTTAACGTAGATCAAGGAATTACATCTCTGTTAACTCTGGAACATGTATTCCCCACCAAATTCCACAAATGTTGCTATAATTCTGACGTCTAAAATGTTTGTATTCCTCGACCCCAAACCCAATGATGGGTCGAGATGGTGGGGTCGAAATGGTGGGTTTAACACTGGGGGTCCAGAACACCCGAGATTGGCTTGAGTACGTGCGTATACGCACACGCACACGCCTCGTGTGCGCCCACCCATCTGGCCCACACAGCCGCAGCTGCCCTGCCCAGGACACCTGGCACATCAGATGCCCACACCATCTGCCATCTCCTGTCCACCCCTCCCAGGAGGAAACAAAGGGGCCACTGTGACCCCCACAGGATTCTGGTGGCCTCACAATGTCCCCCTGAGGTCACCAAAGAGATAACCTTGCCACCCCCCTGCACCCACAGCACAAGTCTGCTGAGGCCAACCGTGGGTGATCATCCTCGGTCCTCCCTCTGGCCACCCAGGGGAAGGCGTGGGCCGGAGCTCTACGAGGGAACCAGAACAGGGACGCACCTCCCCCACCCACTGAGGAGCAGCGCAGAGCATTTCCAGCCGCCATCCTGGAGGTCCTTGCACCCAACTCCCTTCACCTACCGCAGGGAGAGATGCAGAAAGACACTTCACAGCTGCCTACGTCTGTGCCCCTGGCCTCAAACACTGCTGTGGGTGGAGGCCAGCAGGCCAGTGTGTCAGGGGTCTCTAGCAAGAGTGAGGCTGGGCACCGAACCGGTTCCAAATCCCACCAGAAGCCCACCATATCCAAGGTGATCCTGAAGACTGTGGCAGACAAGGGAGCACGCAAACGTGTGTCCCTCACCACCCTGAAGAAGGCTGTTGCCACCATGGGCTACAACATGGCACGTAACACCTGTTACTTCAAGCGTGTGCTCAAGGGGCTGGTGGACATGGGCATGCTAAAGCAGGTGACTGGCAAGGGGGCCTCGGGCTCCTACTGCATGGGCAAGAATCGGGCCTCCAAGTCCAAGCTCAAGGTCAAGAGAAGGCGGCGGCAGCAGCAGCAGCGGAGGTCTGGGCAGCGCCGCTCTGGAGGGCGCAGGTCGCCATTGGGCTCCAAACAGGGGCACAAGCAGCTTTTCAAGAGGGTTTGCAGAGTGGCCAAAGGCCGCTGCAATTAACGGGGCAGGCCAGCAAGTGGTCAGGGGCGCCAGGCCCGCCACAGGCTCAGCTCAGTGGAAATAAAAGGAGCCTGACTTATTTCACACCTGTCTCCTGGAATCTGGCGCTCAGGGGAGTAACAGAGGAAGGGGACTGGGGGGCAGAGGAGGGGTAAATCCATGGGTAGGGGACTCCTGGGGCAAAATAAGAGAGATGGACTTGGGAAGGGCTGGCAGTGTTGGAAGCATCCACAGACACAGCTAGTCCAACCGCGTCCCGCTGCAAGGGGAGGATCTGAGGCCAGAAAGGATGATGGAGCCATTGTGTGCTGGCCTGGACCTCGGGTGTCTGACTCATAGTGTGGGGTGTGTGCGTGTGTGTGTGTGTGTGTGTGTGTGTGTGTGTGTGTGTGTGTACACACATGCTAGGAAGCTCTTAAGTTGCTTCTCAAACTCCTTCCCGCAGGGTGGCATCAGGTGCCCTTCTCCTGTGATACAAAAGACTCTTCTATGGGGACCAGCAAATAAGAAAGCAAGGTCAGGATAGGTCAGGCCCAGCAACTGACCAGCCCAGGACTAGGGCTCAGAGGTCAAGGCTGGCTCATCTTCCCAGAGTAATTTGCTTTGTCTATGCTGCCCGTGGAGGTTGGAGGGCCCAGTTTGGCCATCTAGGCAGACTCCCACCCAGCCCCCAGCTCCCCTACTCACTCGGAGGTGGCCAGGTCTCTCTTCAGCCTGTGGAAGAGCGAGGGAGAAGGTTAGCTCAGCTCTGGGCTTGGCCCAAGGCATTCCCAGGGCTCAAGCGTGTGCGGTGGTTTGTGTGTTGTGATTACCCACAACCTCCCTCTGGTGCCAGGCTAGGTGGGTCCCCAGCCCCGAGCTGCCTAGAAAGGGGCCCCACACTCCTTTCTGCCTGGGAACCCCACTCCCTGAGGGGTCTGGGTCCCCATGCAGCAAAGGTGCCACGGAGCGCCCCGTGGGTGTGACCATCAGTGGGTGCCTCCCCGCCCTCTGTCCACACACACACCGTCCCTCCCGTCGGCAGCACATGATGTAGGCCAGCAGCAAGGTGAGCAGCAGGGCTACCAGCAGGGGCACCAGGAGGGTGACCAGAGCGTCCACCAGGAAGTCACGGGCTGGGGCCTCGGTGGGTGGGCAGAAGAATGGGTCATGCTCCAGGATCCCATAGCCTGGGGTTGAGTCCTCATCTGCAGGCTCTGGCACTGACTTGTCCACCTGCACAGAGAGCCCAGGGCTGGCCCAGGAGTGGCTGGCTGGACACAGAGGCCCCCAGGGGACAGGGCAGGGGTTCCGGGGACATCCTTCCTACTCCTCATGCAACCACAGGCCTCCTCCTGCCTGCCTCGCTCAGTTTGTGTGACCTAGCTGGACAAGCACTGGACTAGGAGGCTGAAGAGACAAAGTCCCAGAGAGGCAGGGCAGCACAGTGGTTAGCACACAGATCTGGGGTCTGACTGCCTGGGCTTGAATCCTCACTCAGACAAGCGTTTAGCTGGGATGACTTGCTTGTAAGTGCCTCAGTTTCCTCACCTGTAAAATCGATAATAGTGGCATCTGCCTGCTGGAGTGGTTTTGAGGATAAAACATGTTGATTGGACAGTGCCTAGCAAGTGCTTAAGAATGTTGTCAATTATCTGGCCCTGGCTGTCAACCCCGAATAAGTTCCTGCTCTGTCAGTAATTCACAGAAACAGAAGACACAAGCAGTGGGACCCTGGGTACCTCAGTTCAGTATCCCAGAGCTGTAGTGAGCATCCCTGAGTTATAATACAGAGAGCTATCAGCTCCTGGCTGCAGGCGAGTTTGCCAGGAGGCACCTTAGAAGGAAGCAGACAGAGCTGTCATACAGAGGCCCTTGGTGGGGAAAGGCTTTGGGAATCAGTCTGTGGGGAGGGGGGCATGTGATTGATTGTTTTAGATGTTGGGCTGGGCAGATATGGGACGCGGGGAGCTGGAGACCCCAGGGGTGGAGCGCAGACTCTGTCTCCCTCTTGTGGTAGAAGGTAGAACTTCAGGGGGTGTGCAAAAGACCAAGACCAAGACCAAGACCAAGACCAAGACCAAGACCAAGACTACCTACCGACTGATTGAGGCCAAGACAGATCATCAGAGAAGCAGGGACTAGACAAATCAGAGACTGGAGTGGGAAGCAGTGCGGAGCGAAGGGGGACTGTGATGGGGGCCATGCCCCATCCCCACCCCCAGAACCAGGGTCTCTCCTCACCAGGGACACATTGCACCAGTCAATGCGGAAGTAGGGTGCCAAGGTGTCATAGCAGGATAGAAGTGGAGGCTGGCCCTGGGCGCAGCGGGCATGGCTGTCGGGGGATGCCACCATCTTCAGGCAGGTAGAGAAGGGTGAGGCAGAGCCTACCTTGATATACACCCTGGGCCCAGAGAGAAGCCACTGTCAGCAGAGCGGGGGCAGGGGACCCCAGACACCCCTCTGCCGGGTGTTGTTGAAGCTGTCCTGATTGCAGGCTGTGACCTGGGGATGGGAGAGGGGAGGAGGCCTAGGAGGGGGTTTAGGCAAGAACTGTGGTACAGCAGGGGGCCTGGCAGGAGAGGTCTTAGGGCCCCTGAGATCCGGGGTTATGGTGAAAGTGCACAGAGCATTCCACTCTTCTGTGCCCTGGGGGGCTTTAGCCCCCAGAGAATGTCCTTTGATGGACGGGTCGTCTACGTCCTCACAGGGCACCAGGAAGTAGCCAGGTCTGGGTGACCGGGGCTTAGGCTCAGCAAGGACAGGAAGGAGATGGGGTGGGGCTGGAGGGGAGTGGACAGTGGTGTGAAGCTGGGAGGTGGAGATGGGCATGGTAAAGCCCCACATGGAAATTAGGGAGACCCTGTTTATGCCCACCACCCAGACAAAAAGCAAGCTTTTTCAGGAAGCCCTCCTGGGTTGCACACCTACCCTTCCTTGCGGCCCTCAATGGGAAGTGGGACACGGCCCCCACGGTCCAAGGCAGAAGTGATGTTGAGCAGCTGGAGCTCCCCGGGCTCCCAGAGCCCCCCCAGGGCTGTGAGGAAGTGGCTGGCAGGCATCGAGGGCAGCACCTCCTCCACATCGTGGCTGAGAACCAGGAACTCAGCTTGGTATGGCAGCAGCGGACCTGGGAAGGCCAGGTGGGCACCTCAGGCGTCACCCGGCCCCCAGCTCTGCCCCCCAGATCCTTCCCAAGCCTCCCTCAAGCTCCTCCCCACACCCCCCACACCACCATACCCCATTCTGCCCCCCAAGGCCCTGTACATCACCCTGCCGCCCCAACGACACTTCCCCAACACCCACAGCCTCGCTGGTTTGCCCAAGGCCCCACAGGCTGTGTCCAGCTCCAGAGTCTGGAAGCCCGGTCCAGATCCCTCAAGACTGGTGTTACTGGGGAAGGGGTGGGGCGGGGCAGGAAGTACCTTCTGGGTCCCGAATCACTAGCATCAGCCTCTGTTGAGCGGTGTCAAAGCTGTCCCGATTGTAGGCTGTGACCTGGGGGGTGCGGAGGAGAGCTAATAGGTGGGATCAGGAGAGAAACCAGGCACAGCTAGAGCCCGGTAGGCGGTAGGCGAGGACGGAGACGCCACACCAGATTAGAGGTATGTAAATTATATGCAAATGACTACGAAGGAACACTCAATCCCCACCAGCAGGGCTGCTCCTAGAGGCCACGCTGACCCACCCCCGTGAGCTTTTGAGGGTCCCCGATGGCACCTCGATGACCTGGCTCCCGTGATCTTCTGGGGTAGCGCTGCCGTAGAGGAAGCCAGGGTGGTGGGGGCTGCGCTGGGTGTAGCGCAGCCACCGGGGCAGGTCTGGGTGTCCCTGGAGGTGGGCATGGTAGGTGATGCGGACAGTGGGGGGGACAGCTGGTAGAAGAGAAGAGAGGGGATTAGAGTAACAACAGGAGCCCCGAAAGGCGCAGCCCGGCCCTCCCGGGGTCCAGCAGGCCCCTCTCACCGACGTCCTCGGGAAGGTGCAGAAAGGTCGCATGATCCAAGGTGTGCACAAAGACGCGGCCCACAAGCGGGTGTAGGGTGGTCTGCTGGGCCTTGGTGCCCCCCAGCCCTGCCAGGAGACCTGTGGGGACCCCACAAGTCCCAAACACACAGATCAGCCTCAGTACCTTCCCCTCCAAGTCCTTGGTGCCCCTGTGGGACTTGGAGAAGGGGGCTCCTTTGCTGGCTCCCTGGAAAGGACGGGGGCCCGCAGTGGGAGGGGCAGGCCTGGCTGCGCTGGACATTGCCATCATTGACAAGACCCAGACTTCCATTTGGTTTGGATTTGTGAGGCAGCCGCCCCCACGAAAACCTTTCCACGCCTCAATTTAGGCTCCCCAGTAAGCGTGACAGTGGGCAGGGCCTGATGCTGGGCTGTGTGCATGTGTGAAGGGCACTTGGAAAAGGACCCCATGCCAAATGTCTGAGAGGCTGGAGGGGAGGGGGATGGGAAGGAGCCTACAGAGGAGGGGGTGGCCATTCTGGGACCCAGAAACCCCCTTCTACCTCCCCTAACATCCAGGGAGGAGCAGGGCCAGCCCCAGGGGCCAAGAGGAGCTGAGCGAAGGGGACCCTAAACCCCAAGAGAACTGGAGGACCTGCCCGCCAGCCCCACCCTCCCTCTCAGGGCCAAATTTAGCCTGGGCCCAGGCAGAAGCAGCGGCTGCCAGCCCATTAAAGGGCCCACAACCTTCTGGGCCTGGGCTGGCTGGCCCACCCGGGCCTAGGACACCTCCAGCCAGAGCTCCCAGCCCCACATCTCACATCCCATATCCCAGAGCCCAGCTCCCAGCCTGGACCCCACGCTCGCCATGGCTTCAACACCCCAGAACCCTGCCGGCCCCTGCCTCATCCACCACAGAACCCTCCTCTGAGGACCCTCCTTGCTTCCATCTTATCACTGCAAATCCCCTCCCTCCTCCTGGACCTCCCCCTGAAGAAGGCCCCAACTTGCCCACAAGGAGAGGGATCCAGGTTAGCACGGCTGCCATGGCTGCGCTGGCCTGGCCCTGCCTGTGAGTGACAGAGACAGGGGCAGGGAGGAGGGAGGGAGGGCAGGAGAGGAGGAGTCCCTGAGCAGCTGGGCCCCATCCCCGCCCAGAGCAGCACTCAATCTGGGGAGGACACCCTCCTCATACACAATGTCCTCCAGTCACCCCTCCGGCTGCCACGGTATGTCTTCTAAACCCCCAACCTGACTACCTCGGTCCTCCCTTAAAATCCTGGTGGCTCCCATTCCCCTCCAGCTCATGCCCTTTCCAACTCTTCCTGTACCTGCCCTCCTGTCTAGAATCCCACCTCTGCCCGCTCCCCACCCCAGCCCCCCTCTGCCCCTCCCTGGTGTGACAGGCTCTCTGAAGTCTCCAGCCTCTGCCCAGCCGTTACCTCTGCCTGGAGTTCCCTTCCCACCTTCATCCAAGCAGCAAACTTCCAGTCACCCTTCCAGACCCTGCACAGACACCTGTCTTCTCTCTGAAGCCCTTCTGCCTGCCCTCCTTCTCCTAGGCCAAGCTGGGTGACCCCTTAGCCCCCGGGTGAGACCCAGCCCCTGGGTGACCCCTTAGCCCCCAGGTGAGACCCAGCCACACAGCACTGTGGAGTGGTATCAGTGCTCCGAGCTCCTCGGAGACTGGGATCTTATCTTTATGTCCCTACACCTACTAGTCACCTGGCACAGAGCCTGGTGACTAGTAGGTGTAGTGGCTGGGTGACAGCCTCCTCACAGCAAATGAGCGTGCAGTTCTCTCAGTCCTCACCCCCGGACCAAGCACCCTGAGCATGTAGGTCTGGGAAAAGAGAGTGCCCTGGACAGGAACAGCCAGTTAGAGACAGGTGAGCAGAGGAGGTGCCATCTCTGGCCCATGGAGTCAGGGCTAAGCACACGGGCCTGGAGGTGGGCACACATGTCACCTTGGCCATAACTACACACTGGCAAGAATAGTACTTGCTCTTTGTGTCAGCGTGAGGAATCCCACAGCAGTCCCATAAGCAGGTATCATTATTGTCCCCATTTTACAGATGGTAAAACCGAGGCACAGGGTGAGTAGCTCCCTCAGGACCACATTGCTGAGCAGCCGAATGCACGTGAAGTGCTTAGCCCGGTGCCCACGCAATCAGCGCCAGCCGTCAACGTACTTGTGGGCACCTCTTCCCCATCCTTCCTGTGTCTGCCAAGGATCTTGGTGCGAGTGTGAACGGCGTGGGGCGCCCTCCTCTCCCAGGGTCTCCCACTCAGGGCAGGCAGAGGGGCACTCTGCCTAGGGGCCACGGCCACCAGGCTTCCCACGTCCTTGATGCCCGTGCGAGCGTTCCTCAAGGGCCTCAAGACCAAGGGTGCTGCCCCCCCGCCCTACAACCAAATGCCCCAGGCAAGGACAGCTGGGACCTGCCCTGTGTCTGGCCTGAGGGCAAGGGCCAGTCTCCAGCCTCTGCCTGGACTTCCCCTCCCACCTTCATCCAAGCAGCAAACTTCCAGTCACCCTTAAAGCCCCTGCACACACATCCGTCTTCTCTCTGAAGCCCTTCTGCCCGCCCTCCTTCTCCTAGGCCAAGCTGGGTGACCCCCGGCCCCTGGGTGAGACCCGGCCCCTGGGTGACCCCCGAGCCCCTGTGTGAGACCCAGCCACACAGCACCGTAGAGTGGTCTGGTGGTACCCACAGAGACTGGGGTAACTGGTGGCAAGGTTACTTAGTCCTTGTCCTTTCTTCGCTCTCTCCCCACCTGACTGTCCCATCCATCCCAGGAGAGCCACCAAATTCTAGAGTCAGCGTCTACTCAGGCTCTCAGACAAGGTGGTATTTGTCCCAGAATCACCTTGGCTTGTCTCTGCCCTCTCAGAGACAGAGGGAGGGAGGAAGAAAGGGTCCAGAGGCAGGGGGGGCGTCAGAGGGCTCAGGGGAGCAGGCAGAGTGGCCAGAGCCCAGGCAGCTACCCAGGCCTCACCCCTGAGCTTCTCCATGTGATTCCCCTCCCTTCCCCTTTCTGCCTCCCCTGCTATTTTTGGAGCCACCCACTCACACCCTCAGCTGTCTTAAGGTAACAATGCCTGTACCTGGAGTCACCAGGCGCATGGAGGCCAGCCTTCCTTAATGGAAAAGCTGCAGCCACCTCCTCCTCTGATACCCTCCAATTCAGGAGAGCCAGGGATCATCCCAGGAGCCAGCTGGAAGTCCCCAAAAAGCCTTCTTTAGACCCCTAGCCCACAGGAGGGCCTCCCCAACTCCAAGCTGTCTTTACTGCAACCTGCTGCTGTAACACACAGCATCTTCTATGTCTTGGGACCTAGGGGGGGGTGTCACGAGGTCTTTAAACATCTCTAGAAGTATACTACGAATAGGCCGGGTGCAGTGGCTCATGCCTGTAATCCTACCACTCTGGGAGGCTGAGGCAGGAGGATCACTTGAGGTCAGGAGTTCGAGACCAGCCTGAACAAGAGCAAGACCCTGTCTCCACTAAAAATAGAAGAAAAAAAGAATTAGCAGAGTAACTGAAAAAAAAAAAAAAAAAAAAGAATTAGCCGGGTGGGCATGGTGGCACATGCCTGTAGTCCCAGTGCCTCAGGAGGCTGAAGCAGGAGGATCGCTTGAACCAGGAGTTTGAGGTTGCTGTGAGCTAGGCTGACACCACAGCACTGTAGCCTGGGCAACAAAGCGAGACTGTGTGTCAAAAAAAAAAAAAAGTATACGGAATAATATAATGAGTCCCCATGTATCCATCACCCAGATTCAACAGTTATCAACTCAAGGCCAATCCAGTTTCATCTATACCCCCCCACCAATTTTCCCTCCCATTCAATTTTATCTGTCAATATTTCAGTGTGTATCTTTAAAAAATAATGACTCTCTTTAACATAATCACATATGAACATCATCAATAACTCCTTAATATCGAAGTTCCATTGTTCAAGTTTCCAATTTCTCATAAATGTCATTTTTTTAACAATGTATTTGTTTAAATAAGGATCCAAATAAGGTATACACATTGCAGCTAATTGATGGGTCTCTTTTAAATCTCTTCAAACCTATAGGTTTCCCCATCCATCTCTCTCACTTCTCTCCCTCTCTCTCGCTTTGAAGGAACCAGATCATTTCTTCTGTAATTTTCCACAGTCAGGATTTTGCTGATTGCATGTCTAGGATGTTCTTTAACAGGTTCCTCTGACCTCGGTATTTCCTGTACCTTATTATCGCCTGTAAATAGTAATTGGATCTAGAAGCCTGATCAGGTTTAGGTTCAACTTTCTTCGGCAAGACCACTTCATAGGTGGTGGTGGTGTTCTTGTATTTCTGGAGTCTTAGCTTTTTTTTTTTCCTCCAAAATGGTGATATTCAAAATTCAATCATTCCTTCCTTTATTAGCTAGAATAATTCTAGACAGAGAAACTGCTCCTCACTATTTGGTTACCAAGTGGTATAGTTCATATAGGAAAGATGAGATAAGTGCTTGATTCTTGTTCTATATTTATCAGTTTCAGAATAAGTTGATTCCCTGGCATCCTCCAGACTGTAACCAATTCAGGTTTTTTCCCCACTAGTAGTATAATTATGAATTTGTGGCTGAAATATATTCGATTGCTTCAATCTCTTGCAACAAGTGTACCTCGTGGTGCTCAAATTGTCCCAGTTGGAGCGTCTGTCTGGGGGAACTGGGGGTCAGGTCTCCCCGCCTCTCCTGGCCTTGTCTCAGCCGGAGCTTTATCCTGCCACCCAGCCTGCCCTGAGCGAGCTGGTTCTCTGTCCTCGCTTCTTTGCCATCTCTGCCCATCAGTGCCTAAACGTAAGCCCTCTGGCACTTTGTCCCTGTCTCTCCCCATCCCGGTGAATATTTGCTGAATGAATGAATGAATGAGTGAATTCTGTCAATTCTGTCTCATTCCACTTCAGTCTCTAAGAACCTGTCTCCCTAAGTCTCTGGATGTCTGAGGGCCATATGCTCTTTATCTGCATCCATACGTTGTCGTGAGGGACAAAGGAAAGGGACTGTCGTCGTTGTGATCTGATTCCGCATCTGCCTCCCAGACTCCACCCACATCTTTCTCCCCCATCCTCTTCCCCGCCCCCACCGCGACAACAAAGGGTGCGACTCGGTCAGTCCGCCACGAGAGGGCGCGTTCGCCGGCCGCAGCCCGGCCCTGCGCCTGCGCAATGTTGGGGTGGGGGCGGGATGGCGGCGGAGCGCCCCGCCCCGGGCTGGGGACGAGCGTCATCATTACATGTTGAGTGCCGCAGTAGGGGACCCAAGGCCACGGGCTGCGTCTCGTCCTTCCCTTTCCGATCCAAAGGATGTTCTTCCCTACGGAAGGAGGAGAACCCCCATGGAGTCAGGGGGCTAGACATAATGAACTCTTCGCCCTCCACTCCACCTCCACACACCCTATCATCTATATCAACCCTCTGACTTCCAGGGACATTTCCATATCCCCCTGAACGCCCCGCCCCAGACACCTTGGGGTACGAGCTTGAACACCTAAGTGTATCTCCAGAACATACCCCCCTTTTTTCAGAGACGGTGATCTCGCGATATTGCCGAGGCTGGTCTTGAACTCCTGCGCTGGAGCCTCCTCCCACGTCAGCCTCCCCAGTTGCCAGGACTACCGGTGTGAGCCACCGCACGCAGCTACCCACCTTTTTTATTGGTGACTTCCAGCCCTCAAGTGGTTCCTTGAACCTCCAACCGACCAAAGCCAGCAAACATGAGTTCCAGAATGCCAGAGACCATTCCCTGCCAAGCTTTTTGGCTTACTAGAGAAACAGAACGGGGGGAGGGGAAGGGGACTGTCCTAGACGCCACAAAACAGTGCTCTGCACAGCTGGGTCTCTGGACACGGAGCCCAGAGCCATTTCTACCCAGACACTCCCTCTATGTAAAGTGGGCGTAAGAAGGATCAATGAGATAATGGAAGTGGAAGTGCTTTGTAAACTGTAAAGCTCTGGAGAAAGTAAGGGGTCTTTTATTTATTTATAACTAACAGTGCAGGGTAATAGCTGCCCAGGGCCAGCCCACTGGCATGGCCTGAGAGCAG